GAGTTGCTTCCAAATGAGGCGAACAAAGTATGAGTCATGGTAATTCCTCCACCTTGCAAAAGGACCACGTTTTCCAAAAGCAGCTGCTGCAATTTTTGTCACCTCGTCCATTTTTAGACTGAATTTATTTTTTTCTGCTTCCTGTACGGAAAGTTTTTTTTCTCCCTTGATATACATTTTATAAGGCATAGGCAAACTCAAGCAAGCCACTTAAATTCTATTTGCAGTATTTATCTTTTGTGTGGGTATATATACAATTAAATCTTGTTACAAGAAACTCCCAGGACCTTATGCAAAGTTCATTATAATGAAAAATTCGATTTATTCAGATTTACGGGTTTTAATACTCAAGAAATACGGCATATTGTGTATTTTTTGAACTGTACATTTTCTTCAGAGGAACTTTTTCTGCTCAAAAAAAGTTGGAATGACACATATTCTCTATTTTTTCTTTTTCAGCCATTTATTGAATAATTCCTCATCCAGCCCATGCACAGAATCAGGGCCAAAAATTCGTTATACAGTAATTAGATAACAGCCTGAAATGAGTTTGTTAAAATGAAATTTTTTATAACATGGCGCCTATAGGAGGAAAGTGCCAGGACCAATAGATAAAATTTTTATACAGTAATGATAAGTTTGTTAAAAAAGAGATTGGTTTTAACTGTAATTTACTTTTAAACATTAATAACAAATGCAATGAACCTAATAACCAATGGTCACTGCATAAATTATGCAGGTGACCTTTTCCATGGAGTCAAAACTTTCTTGAACTTCCAAAGAAATACACTGAAAAAATTAAATGAAAGGCGGGAAATACTCACCAGTGAATTCAAATTGTCCTCCGTCATGTTTGTTTTGTAATTCCAGTTAGCTGATGCATATGGATAATATAAATTGCTTTGCAACAAATCCCATGTTGCAAAGAAATTCCTAGCAGCTGTCTCTTCAACTTCCAAAGGTTCAGATGCTTTCATGTCAAATTTTGCTTGATTGAATCGAAAGTAGAATTTTGAAATGTTGTCTTGATGCACTTCTGCTAAGTTTAATCTCAGATTTAATGCAATTAGCAGTGCGACAAGGAATGACATTGTAAGCAAAAATGAAGAAAAACAAGTTCTGCTGAAAAAGGCAAAAAGAAAAGAGAATAATATAATCTTTTCACCATTGATGGTGGGAAAGTAAAGAGTTTTGACCTTCAACCCTTCTAAGTCATTCTCTTTTTTCCTTCCATTCCTTGGAAAATATGAAGAAATGATTGCTGAAGTTTATTTGAAGCTTTCCAAACTGTTATTTACATAGGTTATATATTGTACATTATTCCTGAATTTTTTCAAATTATTTTATTGATAGACAGTGGTCCATTTTTTTTACATAAATCCACATATGAGATAATCAAAGCCCATTTGTTTCATGAATGAAATAGTCATAATTCCGATTTAATCAAGTTCTGTGTATATGTATGCATCCTCATATTTGGGATTTGTGAGCATCACCATTGAAACAGTCCAGCACATCATATGAATGAGTCATGTGAATATTGTATCATACAAAGAATATTCCTGATATTGACAAACAATTTTCAAAGATGAAATTTCCGCGAATTTCACTTGTAATATTTTCTCCAGCATGAGCTGAATGCCAGATATGAGAAACTTTCCTGATTCATCAAAATTTTGACAATATCATCTGGAAAAGCTTACAGTAAAAAAAATTGAATGTTGAAATTTTCGAGCCTGAGAATTTGAAATCAGATGAAAGTCCATATCAGTGTGAATCTCACGCATTTTTCAGTATAAGAGCCATTGAAAGTAAGACATCACTCATATTTTTTATACATTGTCTACATAGGGCATATTAATTTTAAAATCCTTGAAATTATGTTTTGAAAAAACAATCATAAAGACTTCTTAAAATTCGCTGAGCTATGAAAAAAATTTACTGGCCACATATTACTAAGCTTTTATTTGAAGTAATTGCTTCCCAGTAAATATAATATCGCTTCAAATTTAACACATACACGGCAACTGCATAATTTAACACATAGCACAAGCAAAATGCATCAAATTTGGAAGAAAATGCGTTGAAAAAATGTTCTTCATGCTCTTTCAATGTAATTTCTGCTTTTCTGGTCAGAAAAATATGTTTTATTTATTTTTTAAGCAATAGGGAAAAAAAATCCACTGTCAACAAAGAATGAGACTTTTCTTTGAACTTGAATATTCTTGAACAACATTTGATATGAAGTTTTCAGCAAATATCCATACCTGGACTCCAAATTCAAAGTTTGAATGGAACACTTCTGTAAGCATCATGAGATTACACAACATTATACGCATTTCTAAGAAAATCTTTGGATTTCCCAAAAGATTTTCGATTGACAAATGTAGATGCTTTGAAAGTGGTGTTTCCATGTGCACCTCGTCCAGAATTACAATCACCTGTTTGAAGAAAAATGACATAAAAATTGTGAAATCAATTTGAAATCCCTTGAAAGATACTAATTTTTGAATATAATAACGCTCACTTCCCCAGCCTATGCACTGTTTGTTCTCTGCTAGAAACTTGTCCAAAAATCGCTCCAAAGGCTTGTAGAATCTTTTGAGTGAATCAGCTGTCATGGTTTTCTGACCAGTGATTTTCTCCAGGACCAGAGGCCAGGGTTTGGATGACCCAAGATGCATGGCTTTCCTGTGACCAATTTATAATTATTTTTTGGCGAATTATAAAAAAATGAATGCAATTATATTGCACCTCAAAAGATCCCCAGCAGGTTTGCTTTTGTAAAAATCGCAATTGTGCAGTGGTTTATCTGCTTTTTTTGGGTCATATTCACCAGCTGCTTTGCACATGGCTTCATGGAATTGGTGTTGCAAAATTATGCTCATGAAGTACCTGCATTTGGGTATACAATTATAATTTCTTTGTGCGTGTTGTTCAATTCAGCATATGTTTGGATAAAATGAAGCAGACCTTATGTATGAAACCCCATTGGCAACATGGTAAATAGCCCCAGGGTCCAAATCTTCCTCTGTTCTTGGCATGGGTTTAATTCCCATGAGTCTCTCCACATGATCCCAATAAGCTTTATTCATGTTTTTGTTTGTCACAGAATCATTGCCCAGGACATCCCTGTACATATAGAATGTGAAAATGAAAGAAGTTGTCCTGTGCAAACATCTCATAAACAAGTTTACCATCGCCAAAGGTCCAGGCTGTAAGCAAATCCCAACTGCCCAAAGGTTGAAGACGCCTTTGTCAGCAAGATGTTAATATCTTTTTCTGCAATTTCTTGACTTGAAAATCGTCCAGGTTTCAGAAGACCAATTTTTTGCAGATGCTTCATGGATGAAGAAGAAAGTGACATTGTGTCTCCTATGGCTTCATGGAATCCTGCATTTTCATTGTAAAATCGACCCTTTTGTATTATTCTTTTGAAGCATCTATTGTAATAAAATGCATGACCTTACCACTGTTAGCACCATCTCGGAATTGTGTTGGTAGATGTGAATAGGACATGAAATACTGAATGTGACCCATTTCATGATGGATTGTTGCAAGATCACCAGGTGTCACTTCTGCACAATATTTTATCCTGAAAACAGAATTTCATAAATTCAAAACATAAAACAAAATATTCAAATGCTGGATCATATTACATCCTCTCATGTTGAGGTGAACATCCCTAAAAAAAAGTGTGCCAGTCCAAAATAAAAAATACCCACAGACACATCATACAGTCCCACAAATTACCCCTGAGGCCCTGATTCATTCCATCATGAAGATTCTTGGAATTGACAAAGTAGGTACTTACCCTTGTTTATGCCAGGACTTTAGCCCTTTAAAATCTGCAAATTCTGAAGCCAAACATCAACATACAATCCACCATGCACACAACAGACCTCCTGCACAACACATTTTTGCAGAACAGACTACCTCTGCTGGAGGTGGTTTTTTCTCTTGCATATAAGATATAACAGACAAATCCGTGTAACAGACTTCAGTTTGTTTAGAAGTGCCTGCCACCTGTCATGGCCCAAAGCAATGCAGCTCCGGCATCTGGTAGAAACTGGACTGGAAAACGTGTTGGATTTCAAAGTCCTGTTTTTGCAAGACTCACTGAGCCTCACTCAAGGACAAGAAGTGGTTGTCACTTCTTCAATTTTGCCTGAATCGGCCAATCCTGAGCCAGGAAGAAATCACCTGATTTTTTCCTGACCCAGTCCAAGCACCTGGGTATAAAAACCCTCATTCTTTTAGAGAAGTAAAGTCAAAACCTAGTGTTAAAGGGCCTTTTAACGTTAAATTACCTCATTTAATATTCTGAGCTAACCATTGACTCTGCCATTAAAACATTGAATTAACAGCCAATTGATG